CGAGCTGAATACATGACTGGCGGAAAGCCTTCGTTTCTCCTTCCCACAATCACCCTCGGACCAATGCCTAGCTCGTCACCTCTTATTGGTGTTCCACTCGAGGTTCTAGATGTGTGTGTGTGTGACCCAACGATCTCCACAGTTCATGACAGTCCACCTCCTCTAGCATATTTCTGGGATGACAGATTATCGGTTGGTTCTGTGTAGTGCCTGAGTTATTTTCCGACTGGCTATCTATCTATCTGTCTATCCATATGGTGACATTAATTGTAGGTACATTCACATGAAAACTACCGTGATGAGGTATTGGAACTTTTTTCAATTGTCGACTATTTAGATCAAGTATGTTGTTATCAAGTGAAAATATTTATAATGATTTATGTTATTTAATTATTAGATGCAAATATGTAGATGTACAGAAAGGTAGCCCAGGTGTCAAACAGGCCGCCAATAATTCAAAAAAACAACAAACCTGAAATGTTATTTTATGAATGTTTAGAGTTGTTTCAACCAAATTAACTGATCATCTTGGCGATAAACATTCTTAAATATCATTTCATAACTTCTTGTATGACTATAGATTTAGTGTCACCATGCATAATCATATCATAGCTTCCACCACCCAATACTGAGTTATTATTGTATACTGTTTATTTTCCTTTCTACTTCTTGGTATTTTTTCGCATTAAAAAAATTTTGTGTTTTTCCTGTCTCTTTTTGCTGTTGTTATCTTTATATTTATTTTTTTGAAAATACTCCCTTTAAATGTCGGTAAAATTAGATGCAAATATTGTAGATATGTGCTGAAAATTCCACACTGTACCTCTAGTACTGTTTCTGGAATAAAGCAAATTATTATTGTTATTATTAAAAAAATTAATATATGTAGGTTTTATATCTCGCTTGAATGCGCTTTTATTATTATTATTATGTTAAATAACCACAGGCGTTTTTTATCGATTATCTACGAATATATACTGATGATTTAAATGTTTTTATATTTCACTAGTAATTAATCGTTCAAATTTCTGAGGCAGTTAAACATTTCAACACACACATATCCAACAATCTGTTGAGATTCATTTGAAACCAGTCATTGTTAGTTCGGCCATTATGAAGTCACATCGATTGAGATGGTTAGGACATGTGTTACTTATGCCTAGCCATCGCCTATCTTCCTCGATGACTAGTGTTAGCTGACATAGGATGGATCACGCTGGAAAAGAGCTAGTGGTGTTCAAACCAAAACATGGCTTCATTAGTCAATCAAATTTATAACAGTTAGTTTAAGCCAGTCACGTAGGATGGTAGGTGTGGATTGTTGTCTGTTTGGGGTCTTCGGGATGGTGAGAACCAATGATGGTTGGAGACAATTGCTAGATGATATGACTCAAAATCATTCACAGTGCTGCAAATACATCCATTACATATGATTTGTCATTTCCAATAAAACTGCATTGTTTTTCCGTATTACTGTTATTTTTCGCTGACACTTGGATTTATTATCTCTCTTTTGAATTTCTGTTTACTTTCTTCCCTTGCTTTGTGTGTGCTACAAGGAGGGAGTGTGGCAACTCAAACTGCTGCGCGTCTGTGCAAAGTTCTACCTTGAAACCATTTTAGTCATTGTTAATTCAAATTTTCAGATAACGCCTTAGTTGTTATTATTTATTATTGTTCCCTTGGGTTCCTAGTGGAACATAGGGCTTCAACTACACGTCTTCACTTGCTTCTGTCTTCTGCTGTACTTTTCACCTGCATCCATATTAATCCATACTGTTTCAACTCTTCTTCACACGATCTCCTCCATGTCACCCTTGGACGTCCCACTCGCCGCTTCTCTTTCGGGTTGCACTCGAGTGTTGGCCTGACGCGCGATGTCACCCAGCGGCCTCCTCAGTGAGTGTCCAATCGATCTCCACATTCTCCTGCATATTTGTTGGGCGATTGGTTCTTGTTTTGTTTGTTCCCATAGTTTCTTGTTGGTGATTCTTTCCAGCCATCTGATCTTCAGTATAGAGAGAGCGAAGGCAGTTGTTGATAAAGGTCTGCAACGTGTTGAAAATATTCTTGGTGACCCGCCAAGTTTCTGATCCGTAAAGAACAAGTGACTTGACGTTTGTATTGAAAATCCGAATTTTGTTGTTGATGCTGAGTGACGAAGACTTCCTTACCGATTCTCGATTTGGCATCCTCGTCCGTTCCTCGTGTAGTTGAGACAATGCTCCCTAGATAAGTGAATGAAGTAACCTCTTTCAAATCCCTCCCGTTGATGGTGATTGGCGCTGGATGTTGCTGTTGTTGTTGTTGGTTGGTTATTTTCATAACCTGCACCTAGTCGCAGTGCAGATGTTTTATTGCCTATTATCCAGCGCTTAGTGCTGCCTGGAACAACTATTCATACAGATGAATGGAGTAGTTATAGTCAGCTATCAACCCTGAGCTATATTCATCACGTCGTCAACCATACAAATGGTTTCATCAATCCTTTCGATGGAACTCACATTAATTCCATCGAGAGTTTTTGGAGTCACCTCAAAAAACGGATCAGATCTGTGAATGGATCAAGAAATGCAATGATATACAGTTATCTCGATGAGTTTATGTACAGGACTTGGTTTAACATAAGTATCAAGACTCCTATGAGAAATTGGGAGGTTTTTTGGAACATATACGAGAACGTTATCCTTTGTAACTATTTTTTAACATTGCATTACTTTTATATAAATGATTTATTTAAATTATGCGCCATTTTTATAGAGGCTTCTGATTGGTCAAAATTGTCGTTGTCAAGGTCATTTGTCCGTTCGCTAGGTAGTTTCGGTTAGGGCTGCTATAGTTTAGAGTCACCTGTTCTTACCATACAGAGGAACCTAATCTGTCAGCTCGGCCAGTATACACCTTCCTATGTGGCTGGCTGGTTGACTGGCTTAAACTAACTGTTATGGATTTGATTGACTGATTGGGATGCTATAGTTTACAGTCACCGGAGAATTGAACTGAGCACCCTCAGGTTACGAAGCGAGGTCATTGACCATTCAGACAGTGGGGTGGAATCTAATTCTTCATGAAGAATTCTAATTTAAGGTAGTTATTATCTGAATAATTTTGGGGGCAAGTTAAAGTTTAAGCATCATTAACTAACTACCAATGCAGTGCGACCGCACCGATGACCTTGAAACTCTCACTGAGCAAGTTAGTGAAACCTGGCAGATAACATTGTCAACATCAATAAAATATCCTCATCGAAGTGTTGTGCTATTAAATGGGATATCTAGCAGGCAACTATAAACAGTAGGAACCCAAACCAAAACAACCTACGAACACACAAAATGACCTTGATAAACTAATCGGGTGACTCTGTTGTTTCTAGAAGTAATTATGGATGGTCTACACCTCTACTGCGATTCCTAATAGCAGTGCTAGTGTATTATTGCCTATTATCCAGCGATTAGTGCTGCCCGGGACCACTATTCATACAGCCGAATGGAGTAGTTATGGTCAGTTGTCGAATCTTGGGTATATTCATCATGTAGTCAATCACACAGACGGTTTTCCCAATCCTTTGGATGGAACTCATACTAATTGGATTGAAAGTTTCTGGAGTCACCTGAAAAAAAGGATTAGATTCGTGAACAGATCAAGAAATCCAATGATATACATTTTTCTGGATGAGTTAATGTACACAAGTTGGTTTAACATGAGTATAAAGACTCCTATGAGAAACTGGATTTTTTCTGCAACACATACAAGAACTTTATCCTTTGTAACTATTTTTTAACATTGGTTTTTTTATATAAGCGATTTTTTACAATTATGCGCCTTTTTTTGAGCATTTTGATTGGTCGAAGTTGTCCTTAACCAGGTCGTTTGTGCTTTCGTAGGTCGTTTCGGTTTTGGTTCCTATTGTTTAGAGTTGCCATCTGGCAAGTGTCAGCTTACGTTTGGGAACGATTAAGTTACTGTTTAAGCCAAGGAGAAGTTAGAGTTACGTTAACCTAATAAAAGGCGATATTAGAGTGGGTTCGAGTTAGATTACAGTTAGTTTAGGGATATTTCACGTTAGGGTTAGGTTCAGGAAAGATAAGGGTTATTGTTAGGTTTAGAAGACATAAATAATTACATGGATAGAATGTGGTTAAGTTACTCTGTTGATATGAAAATAGAACTTGTGCACTGTGGTATAATTACATCGTGGATAAAATTTATTTTGATAACGTCTCACAGTGTTATGCAGTAATATTTTGCTGGTGACCACGTTTCGAGCACAATTTATCGCTCAGTAAATATTACTGTATAACACTGTGAGACTTTATCAAGATAAATTTTACCCATAATGGAATTATTCTCTATTGATACTCCAACCTAAAATTGAGAGCTGTTTTTATCAAATGTGAGAGAAAGGTATTCTTTTTAACACTTTGCTACAGTTTTTATAATTTTATAATTTTTTTCATAAATATATTTGTGATCTATACACAAAAATGCCTCCTTCATGTGATTGGCCCATTCGAGGTCATTTGTTGATTGGTAGTTAGTGGCGCCTAAAGTTAAACTTTGCCTAATTTCGGCTCCCAAAAGAAACTGTAGTGGTGAAATTCCACTGTCTCGAACTTACAAATTGTAAAAATTCTTGAAAAGAAAAATTGTTGCCCAAAATTATCTTTGTTTATTAAACAAAAAAAAAGAGGAGAAATGCGTTTACAGATTCACATATATATAAATAAGTAAATAAATGCTATATAAATTGCACACTTTTAGAGGTAGAAAGAACACACATAAAAATTAAGATAATTTATCTTTGAACAAAATCATGAGAAAGAAGAAGAATTAAAAAGTGTGTTGAATGCAATTTTGCTGAAAGTACACTGTCAATACATCAAAGAAATGTTCATACGATTTTATTGTACCTACAGATTTTAGATTTTCTTTTTTTTACACAAACAACTGATTGGTCAATTTTCGCGGCGAGTACGCTGTCATGGTAACCCCATCAGTGTTCAGTGTGTTCAATATGAGACAAAAGTGATGTGGTTTGCTGTTTTGGTTGATAGGATTGTAAAAAACCTAAATTTGTTATTTAATATTATTTTTATTCTCATTATCTTCACTTTGAAACAAATTTCGGCGTGAATTGTTCACGTAGTCGATGAGGATTTTCGTCTATTATTCCTTGAACCAGTGGCTGTATTTCCATCACGACGAGTATAGTAAGTATTATTGTTATTAGCAGCATTAGTAAATTTACATGTAAAAAACTTTAGTAATTTATGACGATAAAATTGAAAAAATAGTGCATATGTATAACCATTCAGTGCATAATTAATATCTTTTATAGATGTCAATAGTCTTGATAAATGTGCATAAAGTGTATGTACACATTTGTCATGTTGATCATTTAAACTAGCACGTATTGTTAAACTTATACTCACTGGAAATGTAAAGCATAAATAAAAACATGATAATAATAACAAGGCTACAACTCGTCCAAGTTCTTTACGATCTTCTAGAATAGTATGTCTTCGACGCTTTAATAGCATTGTAGCCAGTGCAGATGTTAACGCTTTAGTCGGTGATGTTGGATCATTCTGTGGTGTAATATTTGACTTTCCATTGCTAGTCCAATTGATTAAATGTGCATTTGTATGTTCTCTTTTGCAGAGTATACGTCGACGTGTTTTAACACTAATTAATTTAATCAGAATGATTGAATTGATAAATACGAGTAGAATACATGGAACCATATAAGTTAATACAGTACTAAATACAAAAGAGAGTAGTTCTTTCCCTCCAAATTGATTGTCAGTTGCCAGAGCACAGGCTAACGAAGTCGAGGGACCTGAAATGGTCATTAAAAAAAGTAATAAAATATTACTGTAAACATTCATTAGAATAAAAATGAGATCAATAAATTAATGGCTGGAAACAATATAATGCTGCGTACTACAGCTATTACGTCCAAATCATAATCTGATCTGAATACCAGAGGATTGATGTGCTTGTTTGGGATGAAGTTGCCCAGCAGTATGCGAATGACCCTATTTCTTCAAGTGTTACACTTCACCTTGGCTGCTGATGACTAGCAACGGAATTCACGACTGCCTCTCTCGTCCCAAGTGGAACTCATCAGATGCATGTATCTATTTTCTCTTTGAATAATGGTATTCCCACTCGGATTCTTTTCCTGTGGCCACCATTTCAGACCACAAACGAATGTGTAAGAAGTCCTCAACTATGAAAGTAAAACCAATGAAATTTAAAATCTACTTCCTATGCGATATGTACACTGTAATTACTGACAGTGATATAGTAGTCTCCATTCAACTATCAAATTATTGTCCACTTAATTTCTATATTTTATGCTAACTACTTATAAGTAGCTAGAGTTATATTCGAAATAATAAACTTGAAGAGTTAACACTTTAATTTTATGTACTGTAATTTTTAATTTAATTTTGATTGATTTGACTGAAAGTTGGTTCACTGTTGATTTGTTACCTTCTAGTACCGTGACGTTGACTATGTATGAGTGCTAATTTTAAGTAATTTGGTGGATGGTGACTACCACAGGAATCCAGTTTAACTCGCATTTCGTCCTTTTTAGTATTTTTTTTTTTGATTTACAGCTTGATTCCACACCGTATTTTCAGTACAAGTATGGAATTTTCAGCATGGATATCGGTAGCCCAAATTCAGGCCGACCATAGATATCGGGTGTGCGCCGGCAGGGGATCGAACCCCGGACCATGTGCATGGTCGGCGAGAGTCCTAACCACTGTGCCACCGACGCACACAAACTTACTGCATGTACGTGCATTCCCAAGTGATGATCTTCCCAATGAGGCTCAGACCCAATAGACACCATTTCGAACGCCAAAGCGTTATCCCCTCCCGATGAGTCCCAAAACAGCACGAAATGCATATCCCGGATTCCAATGCTAGTCACCATTCACGAAAAAACTTCAACTCACTGCACACTCTTATGGACAAACAATATTTGAAGCCGATTATACTGCTGAAATTAAATCTAATCATGAATTTTCAATGCAGTTTCACGGATTGATATCAGTTAGAGAACCATTGAAAACCAGTACTGGAGTACTGGACAGCTGCTGTTTCATCCTAGTTTGGGAATCATCGGCAGTACGCACCCACAGGGATTCGAACCCAGGACCTTCCGGTTATAAGGCAAGCTCGTATACCATTCAGCCACTGGGACCCGATTCAATGGCTCATGAATTCTAACTTCTACCAATTCGTGATTTAGCGCGACTCCAACTGATATCAATCCGTGATCAACTTGTAAAAACAAAACTAACCCTTACAAACCAAACTATAGAAAATTAATCTGATGCTAGCTAGTGACTTGCTACAGGATGGAGTTTCCTGGAGTTCTAATGAGAAGTCGTGACCAGTGAGGTTCATCCAAATGTCACGTGTGAGGATGGATGTCCCACCGACGACATTGGTTGGTGCCAGTCGCGCTAAATCACGAATTGGTAGAAGTTAGAATTCATGAACTGGCCACTAAATCGTGTCCAAGTGGTTGTATGGTGTACGAGCTTGCATTGTAACCGGAAGGTCCTGAATTCGAATCCCTGTGGGTGCGTACTGCCGATGATTCCCAAACTAGGATGAAACAGCAGCTGTCCAGTACTCCAGTACTGGTTTTCAATGGTTCTCTGGCTGATATCAATCCGTGATCAACTCATAATAGCATAACTAACCCTTACAAACCAAACTATAGAAAATACAGTATCAATCCATAGGATGTTTTAATGTCGGGGTAAAACCTTCAAGGTATATGAAAATGTGAGTTTTGAATTATACTTAGCAGGATTCTCTGAAAACAGGATGTAAAGCAAACAAAATCAGAAATGTTAAGTCACTACATCATATTTAATAAGAATTCCCACAGATTCAAGTAAGAATGATTATGAAGAATAAATTGTGTCCTACAAAAAAGTCTTGTTTCAGATTCTGTACAGTGTAATACATTTTCATTGTTTTACACAAATATCAGCTTAAATTTTAACTTTACTATCGGAAACTCATTTTGAGATGAAATGTGAAATGATATTGATTCGTCGTCTAACCTGTGGTCAATTAAATCTCTACAAGTCAACACACTTGAAAATTAACCTGATGCTGTCTGGTGACCAGAGACAAAATAGCGTGCTTGGAGTTTTATTGAGTAAGTGTTTCTTGTAGGGATACACCAATGACAAATGTCATATGTTACATGACAAGAAAGTTCAAATTTCAAGCCAATTAAAATGACCAACAGAGAGGTAAATTAAAAACTTATTGCGAAAAAATTGGGGTGAAGTTCAACAGTAGCGCCCCCGAGGAGTGTAAACGCTCCCGTGACATTGAACGCATGCTAGTCGTTGGCCAACGGTACCTGTCATTATCATAGCTGAAATATCAACGCTATTCACCGGCTAAGCAGCAAATTTCAGCTAGATCACGTTTTTAAGTACTGTTTCTACAATGCTTTAATAGCTCGTTAGGGTTAGGGTTAGTGTTAAAGTCAGGATAAAGGTTAGGGTTACAATTTGGGATATATCTATAGTTGATGTCATTTATTTTAATTTGTTTTATTATCCACATTTTCCTGGTAAGTAGTCACCGATCCTCTTACTGGTGAGAACTGTACAACAGGATAAGAGAGATAAAAGATTCACCAAAACAGCTCATCTTCTGTCACCTCGGTGAATACATGTACAGAAACTAGCCTAACTTAGCAACTGATACTCCTAATTATAACTGGGACGTAGTTTTGAGTCATGTCAGGTAATGATAACCTGTTTAATGTGTGTTTTCATGCATTCCCTTGAAAAATGAACGTCATATTTTGTGCGAAAGTTCCTCATTTTTATGATTGGTCGGCTGAAGGTCACCCATGTCTGTGCATCCTTTGGGACGCTATTGTTGAACTTTTCCAAAGTTGTTAAGAGGTATAATTATATCATCATTCACCGAGAATCTCAATATGTTCGGTTTATTTGATGACATTAGATAGTTGGAGGCGATCGGTAGGAAGCCTTGGACCCAAGTTTTGTGCTAGTTGGCACTCATCAGTCAGCGAGGCGTATCTGCAATCTTGAAGGAATTCATGTCTCTTTTGAGATTCGAACCCGCGTCAACCAGTAAGTGCTGCAGTCAGAGACGTTACCACTGAGCTATTCGAGTGACTGCAGCACTCACTGGGTGACGTGGGTTCGAATCTCAGGAGGGATGTTAGCTCCTTGATCGTTGCAGATACACCTTGCTGACTGGTGAATGCCAACCAGCACGAAACCTAGGTCCAAGGCTTTCTGCCGATTGCCTCCAACTATCTAATATCATCAAATCAATGTGCACCGTGATGGCGAGTCACCTAGTGGCATGGTGGCCACATTGCAAACCTGACTGACTGATAGAATTCAGTCTGCACCAAAGAGCAGAAAGGACTAGACACATCACACTAGTTACTAGTGTCCAATCAAAAAGTTCAGTTTATATTAAAGCCTGAGTTGAAGATGTTGTCTAGAAGGACACTAAAAGATCCACAGTTGAATCAATCATCTCAGGGAACACAACTTAATCAAAAACAGTCGATAATTGTCAAATAATAACTGTTGAAATAAGTATAAATCTAATAAAATAGGTATTTTAAATTCAATACCTGAACTAATGATGTGCAAACTCCTCATCTCTCTCTCTAGAGAACATTCAATGTTCAATGATCAAAATGTACACTTCCAACTGTTGTACTGAGTACTTTTGAATAAGAAGTAAACTCAAGTGTGTTTTTACAATAACAAAATTCACCATCACGGTCAAGTGGTTAAGAAGAAGTCAATCAACAAAATTTCAGTGCATAAACAAATTGTATCAACAATTGTGATATCTCACGAGATTTAACACTATAAAAAGATTTATTTACGTCGCAATTATTAAAACAAACTGATTATTGAAACATTGAAAGATTGAATGGGTTCAATGGTTAGACAGGTGGCAGAATTTTTGAATAAATTAAAAGTGTTTGACCAGCAAAACACCTATCTTGACATTATTTTTCTAGGAGAAATTAACAACAACTACAAACTAAGTGAGTTTTTGTAAACATACTCTTGAATCTTTAAAGTGCATATTTATGCGTGAAGATTTAAGTAATCGCATGGTGCTTTCACGAATTGTATAACGAATGCTACAATAGATATTCCAGCGGTGTAAAAATATCGATAAAAAACACCTTCACAATAGCTGAACATAAAATAGCCGAGTTAAAGTATGACGGCCCAGGAGTGCGAACGCTACAATGACCTTGAACGCATACTGGTCATTGGATAACGGGATGTGTCATTATTATCACGCTAATATCCAGCTTCTGAAAGCCGGAAAAGCAGCTGGACCAGATGGAATACACCCTGAAGCACTGAAAGTGAACCGGGAGACGACAGCAGATATGCTGACTCCATTATTGCAAAAGGTCTGGAAGGAGGGAAAGGTGCCTACTGACTGGAGGAAAGGTTACCTAGTGAAACTACCAAAGAAGGGCGACCTGGGACTCTGCAGGAACTGCAGAGGAATCATGCTTCTGTCGACGCCAAGTAAAATCCTGAGTCGCATCATCCTGGAGAGAATAAAGGACGCACTGGACACAGAACTCCGACCAGAACAAGCTGGATTCAGGAAAGGCAAATCATGTTCTGAACAAATCGCAACTCTACGCATCATCATCGAACAAAGCATGGAATGGCAATCAAATCTCTACCTCAACTTCATAGACTTTGAGAAGGCCTTCGACAGCGTTGACCGCGAAGTAATTTGAAAACTACTCGAGTACTACGG